AGCAATGTGATCTTTAGGTATTATAATAGTCTCTATCCGTGATTTTTAAATTACGTCACACCACTGACAATAAATTATATCACTGTGTTTTTCAAAAGTGTTTTAATACATGTATTGGACAATGGAAACTCACTGTGTAAGAAAAATATTAATTAAATATAAAGTAATATTAAATTATTAATCTATTACTAAATTATTATTATAGACTTTGTAACACTGATCGTATTCGGGAAACGGTTGAACTGGCTACTTGACAGTAATCCGGTTGACTCGGCTTTCGAATCGGAGGCAGATTCGACAAGCGTCAAACGGATTATCGAAATTAACCTCTTCAACGGGTATAATCATTGACTTTTCCATTCGATTGCCAGGGGCGGATCTGACACTGAAGCATGTTTAACGGAATTTTATCGGATTTTTGTTATAATGATAATTTTACAAGTGGACTTATTTATGCTTTGTTCGAAGATTTTTATTTCTTATAACCTGAGTAAGGTATTACTGATGGTAAAAGACACCTGAAGTATATTTTTAAATAACTACTATTTGTCGCCCGCGACACCGCCCGCATGGTATTGAAAAAAATAATAATTAGTTGCCCATGTGTTGTTAAAGGGTATGTTCTACATCTATGCCAAATTTCATGTCCGTTGAATCTGATCTGGAGATACATTCTAACAAACATCCATGCATCCATCCATACATCGAAACATTCGGATTTATAATGTTGGTAAGATTACTAAGATTTTGGGTTATTTCAATTGATATGTAGCATTTGTCAGTACGTAAACTAGCTTGAGTCAATGTCTGCTTCCGTGGATCATTGATAACAAACAGGTTTAGAGTTAATCTGATGAAGAGGGGCGGTGCACAATGGGCTTTATTAGCATGTATGCGCCCCGTCCGATACAAATTGGCGATGAGTCGCCGTATTTGTGGCAGCTACAGGCTCTACGCCGTAGCTGTAATGACTTACCCGACGTAGACATCGCTTTAGTCTTTCAATTTCATGCAACATCGGAGTAAAGTTAAAGGTCCAAGAACATTATCGATTTCCGCTCATCAAACACTTGTTAAAACATAAATTATTGAAGTATTTTAATAATAAAAATGGAATAATATTAATGATGTATTATATGATTTTAGTTCAAACATCATTTTCCATTAAAATTTAATAAAATGTTGTTTTAATATTATCAAAATAAGTTATAAGGTAAATCTAATATTATTACTTTGAAAATAGTATACTAAGAAAATAGCAAACATTATTACTTATATATGTTTAATTTTAGTATCAACATCGGTTAGAGCCAAACTCATTAGTGCATAATCAATCTCAACGTAAATTTAACTTATTATATTTGGCTTCATAAACACGGGAACGCTTTGAGTGCCTAACTAGTTTTCCGAGTATTTGAACAAAATTCCTAACTCCCTCTTCCTAGCTTCCAAATTCCCCTTTTCAAATTGCTGCTTTCTACCATATTTCATGTTGCTTTATTTATTTATCTTTCTACTATTTTATTTTTTATATTATATAAAAAATAACATTATGTATTCTGAGTTATGAACTCGAATACATTTGAACTATTTGGAAAAAGTAAACTTGTTTTTTTTTCTGTGTTTTTTTTTTTCATGTAACTGTTGACTAGTTTCCATTGTTTCTTCTGAAGTATGTCTGTTGTGTGTCTTCTGAAGTAGCCGGTTTACTGAACTACACTTGATAACCTTTTGATTATATCGTTCAGGTCACGCTACGGTTTAATTTTACTGCTTCAAGTCATTGTATCAATCCCTTACGATCTGGATCATTAAGTGGGTAAATGGTTAATGAAAATAGAATGAGCACTAAACATCGGAGCGGAATTTTGCCAGTCACCTAGCCGTCGTTAAATGTTGTTATCGCCGGCGATTAAGTGACAAAACAACTCGGCTGGATGACTGAGGAGAACGAGGGGTGAGGGCGGGGTTATTCTGGGAGAGGGGGTGTGCGAATAATAATCTCAGTTTACGACGGCAGCCGAGTGAATCAATAAAAACACTAATAATGCACAGGCGTAATCCGGATCGTGCAACGTCGCGATTACTGGCACTAACGAGCTCGTAAAACGGATATACAAGGCACGACCCGGACGCCCGGCTCAGCTTAGATGCGCAAGCGCATCTTATTAGCAAAACCCGTAAGGAATTAGCGCTTCCTAATACATAAAATATACGATTTACTTGAAATAAATTCCACAATTAAGCTGTAATTTAAAATATAATACATGTCCTTAAAATCCATCCATCAACTTAAGATTTTAATGAAATGTTTATAATTTCAAAATTAGGTTAACTTAAACTACAGATTGACCGAAGTAAAACTTGTATACGTAACCTGTCTCATACCATTGTATGACCTTGGTTGTTTCATTTTTAATGTGTAATAAAATATTTTTTTACTTATAAAAATCAAGAAGCAAATGGCGTTTGTAGTAAGGAACCCTAAAATAGCACACTGTATCCATTATTCTCAATTTACGCCAGGTTGAAGGAAGCGCGCGGCCGTCGGCGGACGCGGCGGGTGTCCCCCTTGATTAAACCCCGGGAAGTAAGAAGTAACAATTTGTGTGCATTTCTCCGGAGCTAGGCCCCTCCTGGATTGCTCTCCAGCTTACTGCTCTAACGCTTACAAACTTTATTATTGTTTTTATTTCGCCTCGTATCTTTTTACAGTAAAATTAAACTGTTGTGAAATTATTTTGTATGTAAAAATATTATGAAACGATTTACATGAAAATGCCGATGTTAGAAACGTTATGGTACGTTTTGTATTAACTGTGAATGAAAAGTGTTTATGAAAATGAATAAATGTACGTTTATTAACTTTTTGTATGTATAAAAATCCAAAGAAGCGTTTTAAGTCTGTACATCAAATTAAATGTTACAACTTGCTCGGATGACGAAATTCTTTTCTAGTTATGATATGTAAATCTAACCAAACGATCTGGATGAAATATGTTATTTTGTCGGTCGCGATGTGTTAAATATCGGCTGTGTTTACTGTGTCCGATCGGTTCCATGATGGGGACGTGTATCCATTGCAGCGGCGATGACGGACCTCCCACAGTCCACTGCCTGCTGCTGACACGCTCGCCTGCGTAAACCTATCAACGTCCGCCAGACTGTGCCCGACTCTTGTCGCGCAGTTTTTATGCAAATCTCCCTGATGACACTCTTTGTTATTTATTATTAAACAAAAGAAAATAATAGTTTACAGGTAAAAACCATCCGAAAGAATTGCGAAAATCATCCGTTTTGAGTTTAATGAAGATGTAGACTGTTTAAATATTTTAGTATGATGTTTCTACTCATTTAGTTTTGTCTAATTTTGGTATGAGACATATTGGCAGTGATTCTGCAATGATTTAGCATAGCATTGCGAGCGACTCTCGGTGTTTGAGACGCGTGCCTTCCGCCCGTCCGGGGCGATCTTCGTCTTGTGTCGGAATTAAAATTAATAGCGGCGGCACGCTGAGGCCGAGCCGACAGCGCGACCCGCTGCGACCCCGAGCGACCCGGTACGACCCGGCTCTGGTAATTTGTTTACTCGCCTCGTTCAGGATTACGTTGCGCGCTCTCATGAATTGGTAACTGCACGTGACTTTTAGCTTCACGTTTCGCAGCCACATTTGTAGAATTCAATAATATGACTGACCTGTCTTTATTATACTAGATACATTTTTTTATTTCAAAATAATAAATAGGATTGCACATAAAGCCAGTAACAGCATTTACTTAACTTGTGTTTTAAGATTTTAATGTTCAAAAGTTAATGATTAGTTATTTATAATGAAGACTAAAAATTTTCAAACTCACAAGTAACAATTCCTCAACGACTCACACTCGATTTTTGTATTTTTATAATGAAGTTGAATTACCGTAGGAGATATTATTTTGTCACACATACTAATGAAATATGATAAAGCACTATTTACACTGTGCGGCATTAATTTTGCAATGACGGTGTCGCGGGTGCGTCACGAGCCTAACCTATTTATTGTATCAGTGTCAGGCCTCATCAAAATGCAAATAGGGACGGGACCGCGGCGTCGCCGGACAGTTGTCCGTGTTATATTGAGTTATTCTCTCCAATGCAATGGATTTCTCCGCCACACAGACACACTCGTAGACGTATGGAAAATCCGAGGAACGCATCTAGTTTCATACTATTTCATATTCAATTTTGTACAAGTACTACGCGATATCTGTGTGTATATCCTGCCAAGCTGACTTTAATGCCTTCACAGCGAAGATATTTTCCTTATGACTATTTTCATGCTTTTAAAGGATCTTAAAAGAACATATAGTTGATTTGCTTTATGAAGTAAATTGGATGACACGGTAACAAATTGGACGTCGCGTGAAGTGAATCACCCGCAATGAAACTCGCAAATTTACGTAATGCACTGTCTAAGAGCAAGCGGGTGAATGAATCGGTCGACGTGGCTCGTTGCATGTGGTTTATAAAGTAGCGGTGTTGGCCTCGGATTTCGGTCGTTAGCGGGTAATTGCCGACACCTAATTAGTCCGACACCCCGGTACGCCGGCACGCCGACATGCCGACACCCGACGACGCGACTCCGGTGTCGGTATCACACACGACCCGCGATATTTATAGTCACTGTCGTCGCTTTAAGCTATGCTGGATATAACTTGCGGCTTGGGATGTCTTGCCTGCTTCTTATTAAAGGAACTAGACGTTTAAAGTTGTACTGAAGTTTTAGTTTTGTAATATTAATATTCCTTTGTAAAGAAACATTCAAAGCAGCAAATAAAAGGGTTCCAAATCGCATGACACCCTTTTTAACATCACCGTGAACAAGAATTAAAGATGTATCTATAATCTAATGTTATTAAGAGTAAGGTTTATTTATCATAATTAACTTCTCTTTATCTAAGAAAAACCTTGAAGTTTGTTTACATTGAATAGGTAATAATTTGTATTTTCTTGTTAACAGGTATGGAGGCAATAATGTCGGAGTTCTTCAATGATACGACGACAGCTTTCTACATCATCTTGATCGTGTGGATAGCCGATCAGTACGATGCGATTTGCTGCCATACGTCCATTGCCAAGCGGCATTGGTTGAGGTAAGACTTACTACATACATAACGAATCTATCAAGAAGACAACATAAAATCTACAGAATACGTGTGTATAAACACTATTAAGAACTGTATTTTACTTTTTGTACCAATTCATCTACCATTATTAAAACAAACTTACAATATTACTTATCGTTAAAAGCAAAAGCTTGGGTATAGTATTTCTATACACTACGAATAATGATTATGTACCCGCAACGTAATTTGTCACGTAACTAAATGCCTTTTAGGTCATTAATATATAGTTGCATTTTCACCAACAATATGTGCATCCAATTAGCGCCTGTGGCTCGCGTCAGTTCATTGAAAAGTACTCGGTTGTGGACTGCGCGATATTAATTAGTATATTGAAGAGTTTCATACAGTGCTCATTTACAATATCCATGGATATGCGGTAGTGTTTGATATTATTACATCAATACTGGTATCGTTTTGTTTGCAACTTATATTAACATGAAAATGAAAATGAAAAATGAAAAATGATTTATTACTTTAACAAAAATGGTACATACTAACATTTGTGCCGGGACTTCCATTTAAGCAACCATAACGGGCTTGTGATTGGAAGTCCCGCTCTTCCTTGTCACATAAACAATATCAATGGTACCTTCTTAAACTATATATTATATAAAAACAAATAATTATTTTTAACAAACAAAACAAAATACAGAGAGTTAACTAAAAAGTAAAAATAAAATGACAATAAACTAATTATTAATTACTAAATTAAAAAGTAAAAATTAGCAGAAATTATGGAAAATAACAGAAAAATACATTTGTGTAACTTAATGTTTGTGCAGTATAGGTCTCTTGATTGTATGAATGTGTGTGTGTGTGTGTATGAGCGTGTGTGTATATGAGTGCATGTGTGTAAGTACAGTTGAATTTATATAATAATCTTTCATATACGTGGTATAGTTTGAATTAATGTTTCAGATGACAGCTTTGTTTATAATCTTCCTATATCTTTATATATAAAAGAAAGTCGTGTTAGTTACACTACTTATAACTCTACCGGCTCTACCCATATATCTGAAAATTAGTGAGAGGTAGCTTTGAGCCAGGAGACGGACAGGATACTATTTATTCTTTTTTTTCGAATTTATGCATTGAAGAGCTGCTTTTGATTTAACTTACTAATATTATAAATGCGAATGTTTAGATGGATGTGATGTGGATGGATGGATGGGTGTTTGAAGATATCTGTAGTACGGCTGAACGGATCTTGATTTAATTTCGCATAAGTATAGAACAGAGTCTGAAAGAACACATAAACTACACTAATTAAGTTTTTTTATATATCTACGCGGACGGAGTCGAAAAATCAGTTCTATTGATATTAACTTATATATAGTGTAGCTAAAACGACTTTTACATATACATATTTTAAAATACTTTACCTGGCTAACCATCGTGTTTTTCTTAAAAATTTCTAAGATATCGATCACCATAGATCAACATTCATATTGTTTTTTTTTAAATGTAACAATTCAGGTACAATTGGATACTTCATTCCATATTGTAATTTTACATCATTTGATTGTTGACAACAGAATGCGGCGACCGTCGCGCCACCCTGTTGACACGCACGGCCGCACCAATGAACCGCACAATCATTAAATTATACTCACGCTGACTGTACTTGCTACAGTATGTTTATTGATCGTTATTTTTTGTTACGTCCCATTCGTTTATTTGCGAACGAACGTCACTGAAGTCTCTTTATAGCGACACTAATGCTGTTTAAATATTGTCAAGTTAACGACCGAGCTTTTACTTTGATACAGGTTCAATTGGGTGCAACTATATACGTTTTATTTTCATTGCTTCTAAAGGTAGCAAAAATAATTTCTCTTACTTTTAGAACATATATTCTTGGATTTAATAAAATACTATAATATTATAATTTGAATATAGACTTTAGTCGTTACGTTGCAAATCCTATGGATCCTGAGACAAAACCCTGTATAAAAGTCTCTGTTTTGTCAAAAATAATGAAAAGCATGACGATATATTTTAAACAGAAATTTTGGTCTCAGAAAAGAATGATAAGATCTTCAACATATCTGACTACAAATTAATTATGCGGTGCAGAGATGTTCAATACACGATTGTCAAATAGTCTAAACGGAATTCAAAAATAGTTGCCTGATCGATTATACCTTTTTAAGGAGTGCCTATTCCCCGTATCTTGCCCTTCATAACTCCCTAGAAAAGCAATCGTCCACTTTGTTTTTACTTTTGCTTCGCAGCGCGTGATCCTCCTTAATCAAAAGGCGCCCGGGCACGAAGCAATTTGGTTGGTCGTCCGCGCAAGCAATAAGGAGAGTGAGCGCTATTAAAACAAGCGCAAATAAAGCAAATTGAAAACGGCACCGTGACCCCCCGCCCCCTAGAGGGGGCTAGTTTAGCCCCGAAGGCAGGTCCCCGGCCCTGCAAAAACAACTCGGACCTAGTACACGGGTCTTAGCTTCAAATGTAGTTCCATCTTTTTTTTCCATCCATTTTTCTTAATTGATCAAATCTAGTATTTATTAGTAACACAATTTGTGTACACACAAATAAGTTTGACCACATTCAATCAATTGTTTTTTTTTTTATTATTGTTTGAAAAAGAGTTAAAAAGTGCTTTTACGTTTACTGAGAATTCGGGCAATCGTTTTCTATATAATAGTTTTTTTTTGGTTGGTATATCCAAGGAACAGTTGTTTATCATGTACTTTTTACGAAAACAAATGTCTACATGTTGCATGGTAATATAATCTTTTACGCGTTTTAATAAAAAAGAGGATGTGTAAGACGTGGCGGTATATTATGTCCCAACGACAATACAGAAGTCTTTGATAACTCGAGCTGCATGTCTCAGTAATAATGTACACTGAACAAAGACAAGGGCACTATGTCTTTGCCTACAAAATTAAATTACTACAGCGCTGTTTATATTATAGAAAGTACAAAATATTGTTATAACATCGTTACTTGTAAGATTTAATATTCTATCTTTCCAAGGTTTCGTACTAGGACTTTAGTAAGTGACTTTGTTTTAAGGCTTAATATGATATTCTATTATGAATTTTAAAGTTTGTCTTACAAGGTTACTTATCGTAACTTACGACTCGAAAGGTCATCAAATTTCATTCTTGATTTTTTACACAGACTTAAGGTCAAGAAAATGGAATCTTATATGTTTGGTACCACTGACGCTTCTTCTCCTTTAACCGTGTTAATAATTTCTTAGTATTTTCAGAGATGTCTAACAGAAAAACTGTTTTACATTGTAAGGATGGCGAGCACATAAAATTATAACTGTGCTGTATGTGCGTGAAGTGCTTAACCACTTCCAAACTTGAGGCCCGGACATTTACTGCCTCCGCAGACTCCCCGTCACTGACCCTTATTGCGTTAACATCGTACCGAATCTCCTCCAAGCCGAGTACAGTTTATAAACTACATTATGTTACAATGACAGCTCGTCCGAGAAGATGCAATTATGTCTGCTCGTCATGCAACATTCCCTTAGTTACGTAGTCAAAAGAAAAAAGTGTTCAAGAATATAAATATTTTAAATCATGCGGTCGATGTTACTTGAAAGGGCGTATACCACTTAGGAAAATATATAAAATACTAGCTATAGCCCGCGAATACGTCCGCGCGTAATTAAATAACAAAAAAAACAATTATTGGCCCATGTATTCTTCCAGACTGTTCTACATATGTCAAGTTTCAGCGAGATCTATTCTTCCGTTTATATATTTAAAAAAAGGGCTGTTTTTAGGGTTTTCCCGGCAATTATTCGAATTTTTCTCACCTTTTAAACCTTCACTAGACCTCCACGAATATTTCAAGACCAAGATATTATAAGATTTAAGCAAGACTAACGAACAGCAGTTGATTTATATACATATATAGTTAGATGACAGAGCGTGATGAGTATTTTGACACTATTTTCGTAACACTAAAGAAAAGCAGATTACGGACCAAGAAAACTGACCTCGGCCGAGTGAATAAAACTCTAATCGAAGCCGGGGCCCCGAAGCATAAATCAGTCTCCCCTCGCTATGACGCCCGCCGGAGCCTTCAATTTGACACATCCTTAAAATGACATACGAGACGCGACTCCTAACGACGCCGCCTCAGCGCACGCAACAACCTTATAAATAAATCGAAACACTGGCGTGGATTATATTTAATATGCATGAGAATAGTTCTTTATCTATCTTTGATGTTTCTGCATTTGAAAGGTAAAGTCGTTCTGATAGGTGAAAATGATGTTTTATATTACTAAACATAATGCAATGTAAACACCTAGAGATATTATTGAAAATAAAATTTGTTTCTATTCCAAGAATGACGAAAACAATTCTCTAAATTTTTGTACAATTTTTCTTTATTCTGAAGAGTTGTAATTAGTTTACTGCTTCGAAATCGTGATATCGAATAAAAGTTATCTGCAGATAGGCTATCGTCAATGTCGAGTGAACTATCGATCTAATATAAAGTTTGGGCTCGGTGCGTGTCGAGTGGTGGAGGCGGGCGGTGTCGGGAACAAATTGTCGTTGCGGCCTTAATTGGCGGTCGCGGAGATTTATGCGGATGCGGAGGCCCGGTCGTCGTGCGGTTGTCGTGTGGTCGGCACCGCAACCCTGCTCCAGAGCCGCACGTACAGAGAATCACCGACCTATTAACGTTTGTTTAGTGCTGATGCTGTTATTTGCTTTTGGTGTTATCTTTTCTCACAAATTTTATCAATCCAAACAATATTTAACTTAATGTCAAATAGCAAAAAAAGTGTATGAGTTTAAATCTTCCCATGTTCTTATAAGGTTTTATAAGGTGAACTTTGTCGCCGATCGAAGTGTTGTGTTCGCTGAGGCGTGTGCAGAACGTACTGACGGCTGCTACCTGTAGTTAATTACGCCTCAACAATTTACGAGAAATATTCGCACATTTATAAGGTACGAGTAATACTTGTTCACTAGCTATCG